AAAAAAAGATTTATTTATTCACACAGAACTGGGGTACAGGCCAGAGATGCAGGGGCAGTGAGAGGATTCACCAGAGCCAGAGTGGGGAGCAGAACAGGTGAATCTACAGAAATACGCTGCTGAAGGGAGTAGAGGATGAGACAGGTGAGGTCTGCAGTGCCATGTGGGTCAGCTCCGGACTAGGGATTGAACTTGCACCGAAGCGGCTGTGGCTGGCTTGCAGTGTGGGATGTGAAGATGAGGGGCTGCTGGTGTGAGAACAGGCCATGAACTTTGGAGCCAAGTGGCCCTGGTTTCTGCTTACTTTTCCACTTATCTCAGTGTGCCTTGTTACTTCCCTGTCTGCGTCTCAGGTTTTCACCCTATAAATTGGGTCAAGGTAGAAGCACCTCCTGGGGGCCAGGCTTTGTATTGCTTGTCCTCATCTGATCCTCACAACAGGCTGCGGGTGCGGGGGATGAAGTAAGAGAACTCATGTGGAGTCCCAGGATGAGGAATGGTGGGACAAAGGAACAGTAACTCCTTAACGTCTAATATTCGGTTGCAGATTTCTTTGATTGTCTTATGTATTTTTAAACAGTGGTTTTGTTTAAATCAAGATCCAGAAGAGAACCCCAAGTAAGGGCTACCTGTTTCATTGAGAAAGTAAATAAGACAGTTACTTCTATAAACTGAGGTTATAGTGGTTGATAGGTCTCTTGCATCAGGGTGTGCATTTTTAGCCAAGAAGTATTTCTTCCCTGGATTAGCACTTGAAACAAGATGTTCCTGGTAGGAAGGATCTTCTAGTTTAATACTTTGGCACAGATGTGAAACTGGGTCTTGTGGGCAGTGGGGCACACTCTTGGTGGTAGGCTAAATGTTATAGGCTGAGGAAGTGGAAAGATGGCATGTTCTGTTACAGAACATGCAATAGCAGGGACCCTTTGGGGGGGTCCTGCTAATCACAGCCATCTGTAGCCAAGGTACAGGCTACTCACTGCAGCTTTGTTTGCAGTAGCAGAACACCAGAAAGGGTCCAAAGGTCCTGCAGCAGGGGCTGCTCAATAATCACGTAATTACAAGACAAACACATTATGGACATGGCTTCTGGGTAGCTACTTTAAAAGGGGAGAAGGGATGTTTGCAAGATCTTTAAAGATGGCAGTTGGAGGTGGTAGGGAACTGCTAACCACACCTGAGGGGAGAAAGCCTGTAGAGGGAAAAAACAAACAAGGATGTAAAATAATGTCGTTAAAAAAAAAAGAAAGACTGAAGACTGGCAACTGGTGCATAGTATACTTCCACATGAGTATAAAAATACCAAATACGAGGGATGGACCTCCCTGGTGGCCCAGGTGTTAACTCAGCGCTGTCAAGCTACCCATAGCCACTGTGGCCTGAGTTCAGTTCCCAGAAGGGGGCTGCCCTACAGGGTGCAGCAGACTTCTGTCTCTCCTGCCTAATTTTACTACTCCCCTCAGTAGTGTGTTTCAGTCTGTCTGCCTGATCTGCTCCCCAGTCTGTCTCTGGTGAATTCCTCTCATCATCCCCAACCCTCTGCCTCTAGTTCTTATATTCATAAATAAATAATAATAAAATTTACAAAAAAAAAAAAAAGAATACCAAATAGGTGGGTGGTTACAATGCAGATACCAATGCTTGCATGTACATCCTGTGTCTGCTTAGGGGCAGGGGAAGATATACTTGCTCACTGGCTACTCACCTGTACAGCATAAAGTGTTTAATCAATGTGTATTGATACACATGTCTAAGGCATCTGTGTGTGTGTTTTTTATTCAGTGAAGTTGGTTTACATTACTGTGTAAGTTTTAGCTGTACAGTATCTTGTTTTATATGTGTGTGTGTGTGTGTGTTTTTAATAAGTTAGTTTATGTGTGGGTTTTTAAATAAGGCAAATCTGCTTTGGGATCCTGACTGTTCCACTAACTGCTTGGTGATCTCAGGCAATTTAATTTCTCTGAGCTTCCTACTCTTATTTTGGGAAATAAGACTAATAGCTAGTCCTCATAAGGTGATTTTGAGGATTAGGACTACACATTGAGCTCTGTAAAGTGCCATTGAATATAAACCCAGACCCATGTAGATTCTGAATGAGAAGCTTCACCAAGACTTGAATTCATTTTTTTATGAGTATATCACAATAGGATACAGAAAATAATTTCTTCCATCTACCTTCCCGCCACCCCTCTTTTTTTCTTCTTCTAAATATCTGCTTCCTGTGCTTGTCTGTTTGGGTCATCAAGTGACCAGTAGTAGATGATGGCAATTTGAATTTATTCATGTTTCTCATCTGTCACCTTTCTGAGTTTCTCTCCTGATGGTTTGTATTCTTGAGACATTTAAGCTGAAATCAAGCTTTTAAACTTTTTTCTCGAAGAAAAAATAGCTCTCTGATAAGAAACAAAATATATCATCTATCAGAAAGTCTAAAAAATTTTTTAAAAATCACTTGCAAACTCACCCACAGAGATCAATATTGCTTGCATTTACTGAGTGCTTACTATGCATTTTGCCCGAGACTAAGTTCTTAGAATCCAATCCTTAAACAACGCTTTAAAGTAGATGTTGTCATTAACCTCATTTTATAGAAGAAACTGTGTTGATGTAACTTTCTCAAGCTTTTATATTCATTAAAAGTGGCAGAGCAAAAACTCATGTTTTCCCCAGGACCTCACACTGTCTCCTCCGTGTCTTTCTCTGCACAGGTGCACATACACATGTAAACACAAGTTCAGTCACAGTCACGCCTCTCTTTGGTAACCTGCTTATTTTCAATTCATCAAAATGTCATGGACATCTTTCTGTATGTTTATATTATCTCCCTAGAGATTCATTGTATTAAAAACTTTTCGCGGTAACACTGGTTTACCCCACTGTATGATTCAGCAGTATAAGCCAACACTTTTTCACATGTGTGTCACTGCCCTTTACTGTATTCTCTGTGCTGCATGGTTTCCCGCTGTACATATGTGCTGTAATCTAGTCTATGAATATTGAAGTGGTAGAGATGGTGCTGTGTTGAACAGAAGTGTGTATACATCTTGCACATGTATTCAGTGATGCCCATAAGTACTCCATGAGATGGAATTGCTCCATCAAAGGGGAGTCAGGGTTAGACTTTTGGTATTGGTGATTCAATTGCCCTCAAATAAACCATCCTGTAAAGGATGGTTTGCAAGTTTTTAGGCAGTTCACACAACTGTCTGGCCAATAAAGATGACCTTATGTTTGTAAATAGTATCTGTAGTAGCAACAGAATGTGTTTTATTAGCCTGTTATTTTGACATCTTTGTTCTGCATGCTTTTGAGGGCTGAGGATATATGACATTGACATGAGGAAACTGAAGATTTCATTGCTGTAGACCTCGGAGACACTCTTTTGTGAAGTTTCACCATAAAGTTGAGGCTAGGTTTACTTCTATGGCCTCCTGTTCATCAACTAAAACATTTTTATTACTTTACATTCAAGGTGAGAAGTAATAATTGGGTAGTTGCAAAGAGGAAAATCAGAGTTTTAACCCCTGGATTTTAGTTTGCTTAATTTCACAAAATGTTTGTATATCTTTTCCCCTCTAGGTATTTTTTGCTAACGAAGTAATTTAATCACATGATTCACAACTCAAGGTGAATGATAAGTCTCCCTCCTCTCTTGCCCTTAACCATCCCAGGGTTGTCATCTGGCTCTGTGTATCCCTCCGGTTATAGTTTATGCACGCGTAAGTAAATATAGAACTATTCTCTCAGTACAAATTTCATGTCCTTTTAAAAGTTCTGCAGGGCAGTGGTGTTATTTTTCAACTGGAAATGAAAAACTTGTTTTGAAAAGTGCGTAACTCCCATTGGCTGTCACGGGAACCAGGGACTCAGAATTGAACTTATTCTCTTGATGTAGTCAGGGATTGCAAACAAGGAGTCCTGATACTTCAAAACAACTAGAAATGGTTATGAAATAGTAATGTTGATGGTGATGAGTTGGATACTGAGTAAAAACAGCTGCTTCCCCTGAGAGGAACCTGCACAGGGAGTTGGTTTGGGCTGGTTAGGAGGGAGTTGCTTTTTTCTAGCTGGGATTGTTGCAGGGCCTTTCTGATGGCTCATGTGAGCCAGAGCTCAGGCTGCCTTTCAGACACTCGGTGTCCTTGAACTCCTGGCCAAGCAATTGAAGGTGGTTGCCTAGTCTGATCTGAGAGGCATTGGTTGGGATGCATTGATTAAAGATGCGTTTGTATGCACTCCATGGGTCCACAGAGTGCTTTTCCTCGCAAGGCTGTTCTGCTGCCAGATCTTTATTTTTACCCCATTTGATGATACCACTTGCTTGTTACAAAAGATTTGGAAAATACAGAAATGTTGAAAGGGAATATCACTGTAATCCCATCATCCACAAAGAGCTGTTGCTGTTTTCACATGTATTTCATTTTTGCATAATTTTGACTACATGTAGTCGATTTAGTAAGCTTCTTTTTCATTTATGATAAGTATTTTTCATGTCATTACAGAGTTCTGGTAAACCCTTTCTTAAGCAGATCATTTATAACATAAATGTGGTCCTGGAGGTGTCTTACAGGAGCCAGGCAGGAGTGATAAATGAGCAAAGCATGCTGGGTGTGAGGCAGCAGGGAGTGAAGAACCCAGGCTCTCAAGAGAGGCCCATGTTGCTCAGTTCCCATCGCTGCCGCTTGGGGCGCAGGCCAAAGGTTGTCAGTATTCCCATTCTTAGAGAAGCAGAAAGTTTTTTTGTTTGATTATGTGAAAGTGTTGGGGGGGAGGTTCCTTGAGAAATTTGAAACATTTAGAGAATAGTGTCGGGAATAGCTAGAAATGAAAACCATGAATATTTTCTCTTATTTGCATCAAGCCTGTTCCCCCTCCCATCCAATTAAAAAAAGTGACAAAATATTAAAGATGAAATTGAAGTAATCTTCCCATTTTTACCTTCATTCCCCATACTTCCCCTGCCTAGTTTGTCATAGTTGTATATTCTTCTACCTAATTTTTTTGTACATATAGTCTTACAAGTTTTTAAAAAGATTTATTTATTTGTGCATACAGAACTGGGGAACAGGCCAGAGGTGGGGGGGTTGTGTGAGAGGATTCACCAGAGACACAGTGGGGAGCAGGACAGGCAGTCTGATGAAGCACACTGCTGCGGGGAGCAGCGGGTGAGACAAGTTGGAGGCTATGTGCCATGTGGATCTGCTCCCTGTTTGGGGATCGAACTTGCACTGTTGAGGCTTTGGAGAGCTCCATAGTGCTGCACTTTAATCTGTTGTGCCACCAGGGAGGGACCTGTCTTATAAGTTTTCAGTCATAACTATCACTTTGCAACTTACTTTTCCATGCAACATATTTATTCATGTAAATATATATCTAGCTCTCTGAAGCTCTAATTTAGGGCTGTCAACATTTTTCAGTAAAAGATCAGGTAGTAGATGTTTTAGGTTTTACTGTTCAGACCATCTTTGCTGCAAAACTATTCAACTCTGCTATTAAAAATACAGAATAGCAGATTTGTGTAGTTACAGCAGATGTGGTGTGAATACTAATGCAGCCAGAGATAATTTGTAAGCAAAGAATGTGTTTGTATTCTAATAAAACTTTATTTACAAAAACAAACAGATTTGATCTGTGGGTTGTGGTTTGTGGACTCCTCTAAATTATTTCTTTCACTACTAAATAAGCCTATCATCTGCAATATAAATATACTTTATTTTTCAATTTCCCTATAAATAGAGGTTGTTTCCATGTTTCCTACTTTAACAATGCTGCAGGAAGCATTCTGTCCTTGTTTCCTGATGTGTATGTATGTACAGAGGTTTTACACTGGGACATACACAGATAGGGAATTGCTGAGTGTGTGTGTTTTGTTATTATTATTTTAATAACAGGGGACCAAGTAAAATGCTTCAGGTAAAATCTGACCAGTTTGTGATCTCTGTCTTAGAATCTCTCTAGGAAACCAAGAATTATTGAAAATCCAATCAATACCTAGTTCTAGCTAGGTAAGACTCCACGACAACTAGCAAAGGTGAGAGTGCATGAATCCACACTTGAAACACAGAACATTCTGGAAGAGTGTGATTGCTATGAAAAAATGTGCCAGCAATTTCCATATCAGACAAAACAGATGAGGTTAGGGGAAATTTTTTTTATGTGTAATAGCCATTTTAATCAGTGGTTGTTAAACATTGGAATGACAAGGTCTGTCAGAAAAGGTGTTCAGAATAGGGAGGATGAGCTGCTGACCTGTGGTTCCTTCCTTACTATTAATGCTGTGACTTTTTTTGAAGATTCACCACTGTAAACAGACCAGTAGAATAAGAAGGAAGGGAATAAACTGAAGAAAGTATCAGGGCATCCTTCCAAGAAAATACTCTCCTTTGAAAAGAACCCAGAGCTAGATTGTAAGCTCTGGTGGCAAGAAATTAAATTAGTCCATCTTCCTGAAATAAAAAATCAACAATACAGGATTAGTTCGGTTGAGCGTAGTGCGTTAAGAAAAAGATGGTGTGCTATGTTCAGAGTCTAGGAGATTTGATTAGTGGGACTCATACTTTGGGTATTCCTTCTTTTTAAAAGATTTTGAAGATTATTGTAGGTCATTAGCTTGCCTTTGTTTATCCTTTGGGAGAGCTAAAGCATCTATGGGACTGCAACTGAAGTTGGTGAACATCAGGCAGCCTGCTGCCTGCAGCCTTGGCACCACACTGTTGCGATAGATAAGAATAGGACAGCTTTGCTTCCTCAGGTGTATGTAATGCAGAAAAATTAGTCCCCTCCCCCACCTCCGCTTACATGTCTCTTCAGGCCCAGGTTCTTGTCTGAATCTTCCATGCACTGTGCGGAGGCCTCTGCAAAAGAGGTTGAGGGTGGTGGGTTTGAACTTGGTGCCTAGATCAGCTTTTGCAGGTCTGTTGAAATGGAGGGAGCAGCTTTTGCCTCTGGAGGGAGAGCCAGGAAAGGATCAAGCACAGCTGTAGCTTGGGGGGCCACTGCACTGCAAATGAAAAGGAGCCCAGCAGACACCCTGGCCTTTCTAATAGCTGGTTCCTTCTCATCTGGCAGAATTCTGATGGTGCCTACAAGGAGGTGAATGGGCCAGAGGGCTGCCTTTTACATAGTTTTCTTCAAACTGCTTGAGGTTGTGAGATTTATTTCTAGTTGGATAGTAGTTAGGTATTTGGACCTCCATTTAATCTAATTTTTCTTGATGATGATGACTACAAACTGAGCAAGAGAAAATGTTGGTCTGGTGATGTTGAATGCCTAAAATTAGGGTTCACCTATAATCTCTGGAATGATCCTTTGACAAGGGTTTGCATTAATTAATTTTAAACCAGTTTGAGCTCTCAGATTACTTCTACCTTTGGAAGTACCTCAGCCTCACAGTTACTTATAAGGAGAATTACAACTATTTTACAGAAAACAGGTTCAGAGAACAGAAGTGGTGTCGTTCCTTTATTCTGGATTACCTTATTTTACTTCATGTAACAACTAGAAGTATGAAAAATAACTTTTGTATTTATTGCCACTGTGCTTAGCAGTACTGACACAATGTGTCTATTAACCGAGGCCTGATATCAGGCTGGCTCATAAGCCCATCTTTCTTTTGTCAGGGAATAGGCCTGTCCTCGCAGTGGAAAGGAATACCGTTATCATTGTTCTAAGTATCTGTTAAAATTATACATCTCGGCCCTTCCTGGTGGTGCAACGGTTAGAGCACAGCACTGCAAGCTAGCCGCTGCTGCTTCAGTGGGATTTCAATCCCCAGCCCTGGAGGTGACCCACATGGTGAGGCAGACCTCTCCTGACCCACATGCTGCTCCCCTCAGCAGTGTGCTTTGACGATCTACCTGTTCTGCTCTCCAATCTGTCTGGTGAATCCTCTCACCGCCCTGCACCTCTAGCCTATACCCCAGTTCTGTATGTATAAACAAATAAATCTTTAAAAAAAAAAAATGCACATGCAAATATATCCCGTGTTCCAGCAATTCTTGGAACCAGTTTAGGAATTGTATCACGATAGGTATCCTTTCCCACATGAAAGGATGTTGTTTTTTGTTTTTCATGGCAAAATATCAGCTACCGCTTAAGTGCTAAAGTAGTGGTAAAGTGAACGATGATGCTTCCATGCAGTGACCTGTCTTGCTGCTGTCATAGAGAGTACAGGATTCTACAGTTACTGAGGAAACAAACATCAATATGTGTTTAGTGAGAAAAGTCAGACGCAGGACTGCACGTGTGTATAACATACAAGGCTTGTGTAAAAGGAGAGAGGTAAGAATGCATTACCACATATTTACTTATAAATAAACTGCCTCAGGCATTTAAAAGTCTAGTAACACTTGCCTTGAGGCAGGAGCCTAGATACCTGGAGACAGGCAGGGAGAGGGCAGTGGAAGGGCCTTTTGAGTAAAAAAAAAATGAATTACCTTTTGTTTTTAAACCCCTGGACTGAATTTTTCAGGAGGCTGAGGGTCCTTGTTTGTACCTTTTACTCTGATTTGCTTGCTCTTTCTCCCTTCCAAAGGAACTGTTAATCATCATTTCTTCTGCTCCCTCAGTACTTCAGTACCAAATGTTCTCCTTTTTGTTTTTACTTAAAACTTATCAGCACCTATTTTCTTAATTTGCACTCAAATTCTGTTAAATTTATTGATTCAGATAGGTTTTTTTCAATGTTAACGCATTACACTTCATTTATCAATTTTTGTTGATTTTGGAAGTGAAAAGTATCATCAGTGCAAGATAAGAAAAACAAAGAGCGCAAATGAATAGACAGAGGAAAGTGTTTTGCTTTTTAAATCTCTCTAGATCTCTCAATCCTAGCGCTTGCTGAGGGCCATGATCGCCACCTCCACATACACATTTCTGATACTGTTAGTGTATATCAAGCATAAACATGCAGTGCCTCTTCCTTGTGCACCCTGTACACTACCTTGCACACACTGCTTCTCGCCTGCTTTTTATACCTAACACGTTTTACCTGCTTTGACACCTAACAAGTATAGGATTGCATCTAGATTAGCATATTCTTTTAGTAACTTGCATAGGATTCCACTATACTGCTATAAAATGCATTTATTAGCCCTCATTGCTACCACAAACTAATACCCTTACGTCTGTAGAAATTAACTGGAGAGCCTCCTGGTGGCACAGGGGGTAAAGTCTCATCTCTGTCAAGCTGTTGCCAGCTACAGCAGCATGAGTTCAATCCCCAACCAGGGAGCTGACCCACATGGCACAGCAGACCTCTGCTGTCTCACCTGCTACTCCTCTCAGCAGTATATTTCAGTCAATCTGCCTGTTTTGCTCCCCACTTTGTCTCCGGTGAATCCTCTTACCCGCCACGCCTCTGACCTGTACCCCAGTTCTTGTATATATAAATTTAAAAATAAATCTTTAACAAAAATTAACTGGAAGGTCTAGAGGTACGTGCATAAAAATTTTTGATAGATAGTTCCAAATTGCTCTTTGGAGAGAATGGTAGTTGAACAGGGTCTCTTGGATCTCTTAATGACGTATCAGTCAGTGACTGTCCATGTACACGCTCATGGTCCTCATAAGCTTTTCCTATGTAGCCTAGGTGTGTAATAGGCCAGACCACCTAGGTGTGTGTAACCAACACCTGTGATAGATGCACAGCGGCAGAGTTGCCTAGTGAGAGGCAATGTTAAAATGTAGTGTGCTTTGTAAAATAAAAAAAATCCTGCCAAAAGATCACCTCATGATCAGAACATGGCCCTGTCATTGTGTGATGTTTGTATAAGATCACTTGGGGCTTTAAGATTTCCAGCTGCCTCAATGTATAAGTTAAAAACATTGGTTGAGGGCAAACTAGGTAACACTATTAGTAAACTGGAATTTTTATTTTTCTTACCAATACCAGCTAAAATCCTATGAGGAAATATCTAGTATACTAAAGTGATTAAAGCTATCCATGTGTTGTGTACCATTCCTTTAGAAAAAAATAAATGAAACGTAGCCAGCAGGAGGTTAACAGGACAGAGGTTACTTGGGTATGTCAGCTGCTATTGAACAGCCCCTAGTGACAACTGTACTATCTTTACTTACCTCTGATTTTTCTTTCTAGGATCGTAGCATCGTGAAGTGTTTGGGATTCATAGCCCTCAAGATTGACCTGGTCTGAGTTCATAATGTCAAAGTTAAAAAGCTCAGAGTCTGTCAGGGTGGTGGTTCGCTGTCGGCCTATGAATAGCAAGGAAAAGGCTGCTTCGTATGACAAGGTGGTGGATGTGGACGTGAAGTTGGGGCAGGTGTCTGTGAAGAACCCCAAGGGAGTAGCCCATGAGATGCCTAAGACCTTCACCTTTGACGCCGTGTATGACTGGAATGCCAAGCAGTTTGAACTCTATGATGAGACATTCCGACCACTTGTGGACTCCGTCCTGCAGGGTTTCAATGGGACGATTTTTGCTTATGGACAAACTGGGACTGGGAAAACTTACACAATGGAAGGAGTCCGGGGTGACCCAGAAAAAAGAGGGGTTATCCCTAACTCGTTTGACCACATTTTTACCCACATTTCTCGATCCCAGAATCAACAATACCTGGTCAGGGCTTCTTACTTAGAGATCTACCAGGAGGAGATCCGAGATCTGCTCTCAAAGGATCAGACCAAAAGGCTTGAGCTCAAAGAGAGGCCTGACACTGGGGTGTATGTGAAAGACCTGTCTTCTTTTGTCACTAAGAGCGTGAAGGAGATCGAACACGTGATGAATGTAGGGAACCAGAACCGTTCTGTGGGTGCTACCAACATGAATGAGCACAGTTCACGTTCTCACGCAATTTTTGTTATCACCATTGAGTGTAGTGAAGTAGGCCTTGATGGTGAAAATCATATCCGTGTAGGGAAATTGAACCTTGTAGATCTTGCTGGCAGCGAACGGCAAGCCAAGACTGGTGCACAAGGCGAGAGATTGAAGGAGGCAACCAAGATCAACCTCTCGCTTTCGGCCTTGGGTAATGTCATCTCTGCCCTGGTAGACGGCAAAAGCACTCACATTCCATATCGGGACTCAAAGCTTACCAGGCTCCTCCAAGATTCTCTTGGTGGCAATGCTAAAACTGTCATGGTAGCCAATGTGGGGCCTGCCTCTTACAATGTAGAAGAGACTCTGACTACTCTGAGATATGCCAACCGTGCCAAAAACATTAAGAACAAGCCTAGGGTTAATGAGGACCCTAAAGATGCCCTCCTGCGAGAATTCCAGGAAGAGATTGCTCGGCTCAAGGCCCAGCTGGAAAAAAGATCCATTGGCAGGAGGAAGAAGCGAGAGAAGCGGAGGGAAGGTGGTGGCAGTGGTGGGGTTGGGGAAGAGGAGGAGGAGGAGGGAGAAGAGGGTGAGGAGGAAGGGGATGATAAGGATGATTACTGGCGGGAACAGCAAGAAAAATTGGAGATTGAGAAGCGGGCCATTGTAGAAGATCACAGCTTGGTTGCAGAGGAGAAGATGAGGCTGCTGAAGGAGAAGGAGAAAAAGATGGAGGACCTACGGCGGGAGAAGGATGCAGCCGAGATGCTGGGTGCCAAAATCAAGGTACACCCCTGCCTTGGGCCCCTCATTCAGAGCTTTTGCTTTATCAAAAAATCATATGAAAGGTGTGCTGTTCTTTTCAGTTTTGCATTTTGAGCCACTCTGTGATAGTTAGTGCTCAACATACATGTGTTGGGATGAAAAGAAAAATCACTATTTTTCCCCCCAAATTAGTAGATGTTGACTTTACAGGAAGCATGCTTATTACATGTATGCAATGAAGAAGAGCAAAACTAACAGCTGTAGTTGTGCGGTGTTGTGAATAGAGCAGCCTCCATCTCACAAGCCTTGCTCCTCTCTTCCCCAAGGGTGACGGAAGTTACCGTGGGTAATTGTTTCCTTGCTTTGCTCTACAGTTTTACCATGTAGACATATATTTCTGAATTGAGGGTAGTTTTAGTTTCATAAAGTTTTTTTTTTTACTTTTATATAAATTCAGTCCCACTGTTGTGATTTGATTTTATTTGTTCAGCATTATGTTAATGAGATTTATCCTTATGGGCATCTGTAGCTGTGATTCATTCATGGTTACTGTCCTGAGAATTCCATGGTATTCAATTTTCCTGCTAAGTGTGGATCATCCCCATTTTTTACTGTGATTATTCTTATACTGGCTCTGGGAAAATATGTCTTGTCTGACAGCCTTAGATCCTAGGGTATGTGTAACCTCAACTTTATTACTTATTAAATAATCACAAATTATTTTCTACAGTGGCTATCAGAGTTAAGTTTCCACTAGTAGGGTGTGAGTTCTGCTCACCTCCCATCCTTATCAACACTTGTGATGATCAGACTTTTAATTTTTGTCTATCTGGTAGATAAACAAAATTCTATCTCATTGTAGTTGTAACAGCTGTGCCCTGCTTATACAAGATACAGAGCAGGTCCCCAAACCCCCCATGGGTACTCGCAGTGCCTCCTGGGGCCCCCGCCTCCAGCACCCCACGCGAGTAGCACTCCTTGCGTGGAGGCCTCTTCTGTGGCAGTGTCGGTTCCATCAGGGCTTGGTCTGTGCTGTCGCAGAGCTGGCCCTGGAAGGCTGGGCAGAGGAGGGCGCTGCTTAACTGAGCCCAAATGCCTTTGGAGTATTAGGTTCTATCTTGTTGAATTTACGCAGACTTTAAATTTTGATCTAAAGTGGATCTGTGTTTATTCATTTAAAAATAACAAATGATCTCCTTTCCCCCACTATATGAAGAGCTGGTATTATTTTACTTCAGAGAGGCCAGGGATCTTAAAACTCAGAAGTCCCTTTGAGGATGTTCAAGATGTGATGTGAAAATACAGTCATATAGGACAACACATCGAGGAGGAAACTGCTCCAGGAAGGGTCTTACTGTGGGATCCATTATGCCGGAAGCCTTTCACCCCTCACTCCTGTACTCGAAATGTGACTGGCTGTACCCTTGTTTGCCTTGTTCTTTAGGATCACATTTTTTATTCAGATCCAGGAACCCCCAGGCTCTCTAAACAACCTGGGGTATTTAGGCAGCTCTCTGGTTAGTATGGCAAGACCCAACATTACTTCAGAGACACTTTTAGGTATTTTGTATATAGGAGAACGACATGACTTCTGTTTTTCTCATTCTTTGGATGCTGTAAGATCATTGAACATAAGAATTTTAGAGCTGGAAGGGGGGCCTGAGGGGCTAGTAATTTTGTCCAGCTGCTGTGTTTTGAGAGAAGAGGAAACAGGCTCAAAGTCTCACTGAAAGATGGCAGCAGGCCTTCAGTTGAACAAGAGGTTGTAGGATTTTGGATTCCCTGCTTTTCAGGTCTGAATCATTCCCTTGGCTTCAGTCACATCTAAATGCTGAAAGCTCCTAGTGTGTCCAGCCAGGCCAGAGCTGTCTCTGACATCCAGGCTCAGTACCCTCCGCCACTGTCTGTCTCCACAGAGCTGCCCATGGCCACCGAGCCTGCTCCTACTTTCCTTTTCTCTCAGTTAGGAATCAGCTTTGCTAGCTGTTCCTTCTCATCCCTTTAACAGTCCAAGGACTCTGAATCTTGCCTGGTTGGGGTCTCTGGGCCTGCCCCTGTGCGACTGCCCTGCTGACCTGAGAATGCCTACTGTCTGGTCTCCTTTCCTGCTTGCCCATTTCTAGTCATTTTTCTTGCATAAAGGAGTAGTATTTCCCAAACAGATCTGACTGTGCACCCTATTGCTCAGAGAACTCACCAGACCTTCCTGCTATTCTCAGGATACAGTGTAGTCTTTCAACTAGACTTTGGTTTTTGAATTGATCTGACTGTTTTGCCAGCTCCATTTTTCACCACTCCCTCCCTATTCTACCGCCTCACACACAAAATATTTTTTTTAGCTAATTCCTATTTTTACTTCTGTTCTCAGTGTTGCCGTCCCTTGAGACAGTATCTTTCCCTTACTCCCTCCAAAAGTCTAAATTCTCTCCCTCCAGTGTGCCTCTCCCATTATTACCCTGTTTTTTCCCTATTGATGACATCTGACTGTCTGGTAGTGGCCTGCTTACTTGTCTGTTGCCCTCAGCGGGCTTTCAGCTTTGTGATTCATATTCATAGTTGCACCCCACAGTGTCTTGCACATCAGAGGTACTTAATATGTTCAAAGCGGGGTCAATACTTTGTATAAGCCAACAAAAAAACCAAACCTCTTTTTAAAGAAATCTGAAATTTATCTATGTCTGAAGAAGCTGTGTCATCAGTGTTTCCAAGGTAAAGCCCTCTACCCCACCCAGTGATGGGAAAGGCACAGCTGAGCACAGTACACTTTTTCCCAGAGATCGCCCCCTTTGGCTCAGTCCTGAACTCTATCTTTCATGGGCTTCCCTATGAGGAGACTGTTCTGAGGGAGATTATTCATGAGGTGGATTCAACATTTTTCTCATTCAGGCCATGGAGAGTAAGCTGCTTGTTGGAGGAAAAAATATAGTAGATCATACAAATGAACAGCAGAAAATCCTGGAGCAGAAACGTCAGGAAATCGCAGAGCAGGTAACTTCTCATTTGGGGTGGGGCTGCGGCTTGGGCTGGAGGGGTGGGCTGGAATAAGGTGTGTTAATGCTACAGAACAAATTGTCTCTTGTATGAAACTCTTCAAAGGAGATGGAAGCAAGGTGTGTCAGCCCCTTCCTTCCTGGTGGGAGGCTCTGATCTGGGACTCCAGGCCCCTGGGTTGTTGTATAGATAGATATAGTCTCTAGACAAGTTAGGAATTTTGTGATGTTTTCAGAAACGTCGAGAAAGAGAAATCCAGCAACAGATGGAAAGTCGAGATGAGGAGACCTTGGAACTTAAAGAGACCTACAGCTCATTGCAGCAAGAGGTGGACATCAAGACCAAAAAACTCAAAAAGGTATAAGGGATTGGGACTTGGGATTGGGACTTGACATCGGGTCTTGCAACTTGGGAGGAAAGAGAATGCCTGTGTCTGGAGGGAAACCCCCTCACTGGCCTCTCCCATGGGTTCTAGCTCTTCTCCAAGCTTCAGGCAGTGAAGGCAGAGATCCATGACCTCCAAGAAGAGCACATCAAGGAGCGGCAGGAGCTAGAGCAGACTCAGAATGAGCTCACCAGGGAACTGAAACTCAAGTAAGTGCTGGATTTCCTGTGTCCCCTCAGGCCACTTGATGGGTCATTGTTAAGTAAGAAACACCCCTGAGGACAGGGTCCTACCTACTCTCTCCTTTTCTGTCTCCTGTTTGTTCCTGAGAAAATCACTTTCACTATCTGGTTTTCATCTGTTAACTGAGTGGTTTCAGATAATCTTCAAGTTTCCTTTCTGAAGCTTTTTAAGGCTCTGACTTCACCTCTATCTACTGATAAGAAGGAATCTTTTAACTCCAGTTTTCTGAATGGTATTGTGATCATGCAAATAACCATAAAAAATATTTTTAATAAAAATATTTAAAAGCAAATCTCATTTCTACATACAACCTTACATATGTGACCACAATATTTTTAAAAAGCCTTTATTGAGACGTAATTCACATACCATACAATTTACCTATTTAAAGTATTCAGAGCATTTGTAAAAACAAATATCTTTAGGGTTTTTAATTATCTAATTTTAGAACATTTTTGCCCTCCCCCCCCAAAGAAACTGACTTGCTGTCATTCCTCATTATCCCCTCCACCAGCTCTATGTTTTTACTTTTTTGGCTATTATGAATAATGATGCTATGAACATTTGTGTTTAAGTTGTACTTTTTTTTTTTTTTAAGATTATTTATTCATGCATATAAGAACTGGGGTACAAGCCAGAGATGTGGTGGGTAAAAGGATTCACCAGAGACAGAGTGGGGAGCAGAACAGGCAGACTGACAAAGTACATTGCTGAGGGGAGTAGCGGATGGGTCAGAAGAGGTCTGCTGCCCCATGTGGGTCACCACCCTGGCTGGGGAACAAACTTGTGCTGCAGTGGCTATGGATGGCTTCATAGTGTTGTGCTTTAACCCTTTGTGCCACCAGGGAGGCCCCTGTGTTTGTTTTATTGTGGACATAAGTTTTCACCTTTTTTTTTAGGTTATCTAAGAGTCTTAGTTTTAGCTATTATATTTATTCTGTGATTCATTTTGAGTTAATTTTTATGTATGATTTGACGTGGGGCTCCAAATGTTTGCTTTTGCATGTGGATATCTAGTTGTCCCAGCACTGTTTTTTGAAAAGGCTCTTCTTTCATCTTTGCACTGTTGTCAAATGTCAGTTGACTGTAAATGCAAGGGTCCCAACTATCAGTACTGTTCCACTGACATATATGTGTGAGTGTGTGTATATGTTTATATGTATATATATGTATGTATGTCTGATCTTATGTCAATTCCACACTATATGGGTTACTGCAACTATGTGATAAGTTTTACAATGAGTGGGAGTTTTCCAATTTCATTGTTCTTTTTCAAGGTCGTTTTTGGCTATTTGGGTCTCTTGCTTTAAAGATAAGCTTTAAAATTTAAAGATAAGCTTGTCTATTTTTAAAAAATATTGGGATTTTGATAAGGATTGTGTTGGATCTATGCTATCAAATTTTAATGGTATTAATTGTTCTAATCCATGAACATGAGATCATGTTTTTACATTTATTTAGCTCTTTTAAATTTTATGTCAAGAATGTTTTTTAGTTTACATTGTATGTCTTTGTTGTTTTTTGTTTGTTGTTGTTTTTTTTTTTTTTAAGATTTATTCACTTATGTATACAAGAAGTGGAGTATAGGCCAGAGGTGTAAGGGGGGTGGGTAAGAAGATTCACCAGATTGACTGAAATACACTACTGAGGGGAGCAGTGGGCAAGACAGGAGAGGTCTGTTGTGCCATGTGGGTCAGCTCCTTGGCTGGAGATTGAACTCATGCAGCAATGTCTGGTGACAGTTGATAGTGCTAAGACTTTAACCCCTGTACTACCAGGGAGGCCCAAGTCTTTGTACTTTAGTTACATTTACAATTATTTTATTTTATTTTTTGATGCTACTATAGTTGGAATTATTTTTATAATATTTATTGCAAACATGTAGAAATGCAATTGACTTCTGTGCACATATTTTTCAATCTAGCAAAATTAACATTAAATTTCTTAGTATACACATGCAAGGTTTTTTGGTTTGTTCATATTAAAATATATATCAGATGACATATTATATTTGGTTATTATGTCTCTTAATGCTATTTTAATCTAGAACAATCTTTTTTCCTTTAAAAAAATTTTTTGTAGTTGACTTATTGAGAAAAGCTGGGTCAGATAGCCTGCAAGAGATAGCCCCCATTCTTGGTTTGTTGGTTTGCTTGTTCATCGTATCTTAAATTGCCTCTCTGACTCCCTTGTTTTCCTTTAACTGAAAGCTAGCTCTGAAGCACTGGTTGTCAACCTTGGCTGAACACTGAAGTCATCTTAGTCATGCCCCACCCCCCTTTTGGCTTTTTAGGTTGTTTTTTTCAATTTTCATCTGAGCAGTTTTTTTTTTAAGTGGTGCTTTGGCCCTACCCTAGGGAATCTGATTTAATTGGTCTAGAACAGTGGTGCTTAAACTGTAGTAGGTACCAGATCATCTGAGTAGCTTCTTATATATGAATTACTGATGCCCACACCCAAAGAGTCCGATTTCCTTCACATTGGGTGGAGCCTGAGGATTTGCATTTCTAAAAAGTTCCAGTTGGGAGCATATGAAAAAACGTTCAACATCACTTGTAATAAGGGAGATGCAAATTAAAATCACAATGAGATATTACCTCACCCCAGTGATAATGGCACATCTTAAAACAACTGTCAACAACAAATGTTGGTGAGGATGTAGAGAAAAAAGAACACTCCTGCATTGCTGGTGGGGATGCAAACTAGTACAACCACTATGGAAAACTGTTTGGAGGTTTTTCAAACTACTAAAAATGGTGCTTCCATATGACTCAGCAATCCCACTCTTAGGTATCTACCCAAAAGACACAAAAACACTGATTCAAAAAGACACCTGCACCCCCATGTTTATTGCTGCTTTATTTGCAATTGGAAAGACATGGAAGCAGCCCCTATGCCCAAAAGTAGATGACTGGATTAAAAAGATGTGGTACATATACACAATGGAGTATTACTCAGCAACCAAAAAAAAAAAAAAAGTAAATAAACATATGCCTTTTGCAGCAACATGGATGGAGCTGGAAAAGATCATGCTTAGTGAAATAAGCCAGAAATAAAAAGGAAAAGTAGCGGATGGTTTCACTCATAGCAGGAGTATAAAGGACCAGGGGAGAAAATAATAATAATAATGAACAAATATATACTAGAGACATTTTACAGGGGTGGAATGTGGAATGGGATCAAAAACAGTGGGGGGAGGGAAGGGCACTGGACTATGGTGATGGCACATGGGTGATTTGGTGATGGGAAGCACACAGGGATTACAGCTGAGATGGAAAAAGGCACAAAATGATGTAAAATAAACATATTATTTAAAAAAATAGAATCAGAAACATGCACTGCCTTAAGTTTGATGAATAAAAATATCTATATAAGATAAAAGGAAAAAAGTTCTAGTTGGTACTCCTGCTGATTTGGGGAACCACTGGTCTCCCATGAGGCCTGAGCAGGATGTTTCCAAGACTCTGTAAGTGTGATGCTAATGTGTAGTGTGGCTTGGGAACCACCCAGCTAATGATTATATCTCTTATTTATATCTTCTGAATAAACAGTGAGTCGATCTCTTTCTCAGTACCCTGCATCTCTGTGGTATTTGTTGTGTGTCTCTCCCAAGTTCCAACACCCCTTTGGCATTGTTCTGTCATAAGGTTTTGAAAGTATGAGTACAGATATAGTAGGAGATAGTCATCACCATGGAGCGACACAACCGGGGGTTCCAGTTTCATTGTTTAGCAGGTTCCTGGGCACTTTTTGGGCAGAGGTTCTTGGGAGTGACTTTCATTCTGCTTTGTTACTGCTTTAAAGGACTGAAATCCATTTGGTCCCACTGTTTGTCCTGGTGACAAAAAGTGACATTTTCCAGCATGGGCAACAATCCATGGGGTTGGAGAAAGGCAGTTGATATCCCTGATTTCACCTTTTGTAAGTTAATATGCTGCATCTAGCAACACCAGTGGCCCTGTGAAAGGTACTTCACATTCTCATCCAGTATAGCCTTGGTGTCACCTCCCTCTTCAGTTCTTTCACCTTCTCAAACTATTCCTCTCCAGGCAGAAATGTCCTCTCCATATTCCTACAGCTGAGCACTAGCAGCTTCTGTCATACTAAAGAAGGCTGTCCCACTAGCATTGTCACAGGCCGGGACCAAGTGTCCTATGTCTGTATCCTAGCTCTTTGTCTGCTGGTAGGCCCATAGCACCCACTCAGTAAATGTTTGCTGAACGATTTGACTCTTACCAGATCACTCACTACACACAGAATCTAACAGACAGTAATCCATTTGTATTCTCTTTCCATCTGTATTCACCCATGTATGTGTTCTCTTACAGGCATCTTATTATAGAAAACTTTATCCCTCTGGAAGAAAAAAGTAAAATTATGAATAGATCCTTCTTTGATGAAGAGGAAGATCACTGGAAATTACATCCTCTAACCAGACTCGAGTAAGTCACTAATGACTTTTAGCGACTTTAACGTGGGGAAGAGGGAAGGAATGTTGATAAGCTGACTTTAGTCATTGGGGTGGGATAAGAACATAGTCTGATTCAGTTAAACTTAGAACCAGTTTGAATCTCTGCTTGTGGCTGTCATAGGCCCATGAGCTATACAGGTTTGGTACTAGGAATTGGGAGGTTTAGCACAATGACCTGACAACCTTTTCCAAGGTTCTGCACTTCAGCTTCTCCAGCTTTGAGATACAGTGTGCTAGGCCAGATGAGGGCCATGTATATAGGTGTATCTTGTGTGTTAGTCTGACACAGGGTAAGAAGGAGTCTCAGTCTAAGCCTGACCCTATTGAGAAAATGATTTTGACAGCTGTGTTTGATGCCTACCATCTAAGAACTGAATAGTGACTCAGATCCTTCCAGCTTAAAAGATGTGTGACACTCACCTTTGAGTCAGAAAGCAACTCAAGTAGAAAAGAGAAGCAGCCTTTGCCCCATTCACATGTCAGCCCTCAGTCTAGGGGGTTACTTGTTTCAAGTTCCAGCTAAGGCAGGGTCAGGGTCTTCTGAGTGCTACCTCCACCGGACCAGTGCTGGGGCTGCGGAGCACACTCCAGACAGGGCTTTAACCACTGCAGTCCATTTTCAGGAATCAGCAGATGATGAAGCGACCAGTCTCAGCTGTGGGATACAAGAGACCATTGAGCCAACATGCAAGAATGTCCATGATGATTCGTCCAGAGGCCCGATATAGGGTGAGAGGACTGTTTTCTTCTCTCTCTTCAGAGTTTAGATTCATGTAAAGATCAAAAGAACTTTTTAACAAATAATAATAACCAGAAAGATAAAGTAGAATGAGATTTAGAAAAATCAGGACCAGGGGAAGGAGAGTGCAAATGTATTGGGCATGTAGCAGTGACCGTGGGCTTCCAACTGGCTCAGTCAGAAGCCTGGCAAGAAGCAGGTAGCTAGTGACAGGAGGTGGAGTTAAATGAAGAGTTTGATGAACTTCCCCTTAACATAATGTGTCAGTCATGTATTAGTTAAAGTGACACAGTTGAGGATTCTCGTGGCCTGCGTGTAGTTTGCAGTAAAACACCGCGTAGGCGTCTATGTGTAAGCACACGCCGTGTGCAAGGCACTGTCCTCAGCCCTTCACTGCTTTCTCTGGCTGAACCTGCCCTCCCCGCTACTCTGTGCCTCCCGTCTTCCGCTTTAAGGCTCACTAGGCAGTAAATGGAAGAAGCTGGATTCACTAATATTTTTGTTACAAAGCAATTGGTACTGGATTTGTACATATGAAACAGAAACATACATCGAGATATGAACTGTTTATCTCGGTTGATGGAAGAGCACACAATTTAAATTTTCTTCATTTTGCTCATCTGTGCTCCATAATGATCAGTGGGTAACCTGTATTTCCTAATCAAAGATTTTTACTTAAAATTTTAAAGTGGGCTTGACTCTCCCTTGCCGGCAGCCGAAAACAGATTAAGGTTAGCTAGCTCCTCATGAGCTGTTTCCCGTGACACTGAGTTACTTAAAGAAAACAAAAACAATGAGAAGGTTGGATTTTCTGTCTGGGAGATTAGAGATGCAGCAACGGATTCACGGGGACACTTTCTTAACATTTTCAGAGAATGTGTCCTGCTGGGACTTTCATGTCTTGAGGCAAAAACATGATTTTTAAGCTGCTGGTCAAATATGTGGATTTTCAGGGGCTAACCTGATTCAAAGGTAGAATTTAAATCAGTGTCAGATAATTTTAGTCATGGACCCTCTTCATGCAGAGATTTTTAAAAAAGATTTATTTATTTATACATACAGAACTGGGGTACAGGCCAGAGGTGCAGGGGCGGTGAGAGGATTCACCAGAGACAGAGCGGGAAGCAGAACAGGCAGATCGACGAAGTACACTGCTGAGGGGAGCAGCGGGCGGGTCAGGAGACGTGGCTGCGCCATGTGGGTCTGTTTGGCTGGGGATCGACTCCTGCTGGGGTGGCTGTGGGCAGCTTCATAGTGCTGAGCTTAACCCTCTGTGCCACCAGGGAGGGCCTCATGCAGAGAGTTTTCACAGTATATCAATACTGCCGGGTTCCTCCTGCCTCCTGCCGAGTCCTGGGGCTTGAACTCCACCAAGTAAGAGGAACCTGAGGAGAAGATGGAAACCATGGGTGTGCCTTCCTCTTCGCATTTGTCTGGGCCTGTAGGAATCAGGAAAAGGATACACAGATCAAGTGAGGGAATCATCTAGATCAATTCTGAGGTGGCCTTGTGTGGGTGTCCCAGGTACACGACCGCCACACATGCCCCCCGTACCTGTGCCCCATGCTGGACTCTCCCTGCAACAGCTGCAGCGTTCCTTGAGCTGCTCTAGGTGGCGAGGTTATTGGTGATGGCTAGTTTTTATATGCTTTGTATTTTCTTTTTTTTATTTTAAGATTTATTTATTTATACAGAACTGGGGTACAGACCAGAGGTGCAGGGGTGGTGAGAGGAGTCACCAGGGACAGAGTGGGGAGCAGAACAGGCAGATCTCTGAAATACAGTGCTCAGGAAAGTAGTGGGTGAGACAGGAGAGGTCTGCTGCGCTGTGTGGGTCAGCTTCCAGGTCATGGATCGAACTTGCGCTGAGGCAGCTCTGGCCAGCTTTGCAGCACTGCTTCTCAACCCATTGCCATCAGGGAGGGCCCCGCCTTTTTGTATTTTCAAACTGTCTGCAATAAATAAGTCTTACCACTTCCCCCGATTATTCCCATTAGCTAATACGTATTCATTGTTGGGGTGGAAGATAGAGAATAAAGAGAATCACCTGTCATTCTGCCAGGAGAAATGTTCTGAAATGACCCTTCCAGGCAGGCTCTGGGTAGGCCCTGCGTAGCATGCAGTGTGCTGTTGTGTTTATGGAGGGAGTGTTGGTTGCTTGTACCCTAGGTCTGACTGGAAGCCAACCCAGCCGGTCATGACTGTGCTTCTTTAGGCAGAAAACATCGTGCTATTAGAGCTGGATATGCCCAGCCGGACTACCAGAGACTATGAAGGCCCCGCCATCGCCCCCAAAGTGCAGGCCGCCCTGGATGCAGCACTGCAGGATGAAGATGAGATACAGGTGGACGCGTCATCCTTTGAAAGCACTGTAAATAAGAAAGCGAAGGCCAGGTGAGTGACTTTTGGTAATCGATTTGAACAGAACATCTTTGAACAAGGACCAACCAAGATGGAGGTGGCAAGAGTACTTGTTTACCATGCAGCGCTTTGTAGAGCATGCCAGAATGTATGCCCTTCTCCTCTTTTGTTTGTTCATCTATTTTGCACATATCTACAGTTTGGGCACTATGCCAAGTGTACTGGATGTATACAGGTGTGTGTGTGTGCTAGTGATGTACAGGGAAGTTTGGTGATCACCAGGTTGTGGGCAATTCTAAGTTATTGTTAAAAAATTTTCAGTGTGTGGTACATATACACAATGGAATATTACTCAGCAACCAAAAATATAATCACATGCCTTTTACAGCAACATGGATGGAGCTGGAAGGGATCGTGCTTAGTGAAATAAGCCAGAAAGAAAAGGAAAAATACCAGATGGTTTCACTCATAGCAGGAGTATAATGGATCAGGTGAGAAAATAATGATAATAATGAACAGCCATATACCAGAGACATTTTATGGGGGTGGGGTGGGGAATGGGATCAAAAACAGTGGGGGGAGGGAAATGCACTGGATTATGGTGATGGCACTAGGGTGATTTGGTGATGGGAAGCCCACAGGGATTACAACTGAGATAGAAAAATGCACAAAATGTTGTAAAAATAAACTATTCTATTATTAAAAAAAGAAAAATGTGATGATTGTTAAGCTGTCTGCTTTATGCACACACTGATGTAATCCCACTGCTTGCTTGTAATGTATAAACAAAGACCTGCTGGGACAATCGCAGATGCTTCCACCCTAAAAAAAAAAAATTCTCAGTGCATTCTATATTGCCATCAATCCCACTTTAGAGAGGAGAAACTGAGAGAAGACTTGAAAAATTAGCTAAATTCAAGGAAAACCAGAAGGTCAGTGACAGATCCCAGGTTCAAATGTAGGTCTGTCTGTATCTACAGCCTAGGTGCTGAGCCTTCCTGCTGAGTTTACCACATCCATCAAATCAAGTACTTGATTTGATATGAAATTAGAAGTTCTATCTTATTAAATTCTGAATTAAAAGTTTAAGGGAAACAATTAGGTCAAAAACCAAAACTGGAAGAAATTCTACTTGCAAACATATTTTACCAATTTGAAGGAGACAGTCAAGAATGTTTTCCCCCCTAAGGTTTACTTACTTATGTATACAAAAACTGGGGTGTAGGCTAGAGGTGCAGGGGGTGGGGGTGAAAGGATTCACCAGAAACAGAATGGGGAGCAGAACAGATGAACTAAGATACAGTGCTGAGGGGAGCAGCAGGCAAGACAGGAGAGGTCTGCTGTGCCATGTGGGTCAGCTCCCTGTCTGGGGATCGAACTCATGCTGCAGTGGTTGCCAATAGCTTCATAGTGCTGAGACTTAACCCCTTGTGCCACCAGGAAGACCCAATAATTGATTTTAATGGAGGAACAATTGCTGAGAATCAGAGTCCCTTCCCTGAGGTTTCATTCCTTGATTGGTAAGTCACCGTGGCCATGTGTGGAGGGTCAGGCTGTGCCAGTCTAGTGGTTTTATAGCTAACAGTGTACTGGCTTCCAGGCCATGGTGGAAAGACTGCCTTGAAATGTTAATGGCATTTGAGGGGAAGTAGTCTGACTGGTCAGAGCCAGAAGTGGGCTACATAATGAGCAAACCTTTGCTTCACTTTTGCAGGCCTAAAAGTGGAAGGAAGTCAGGATCCTCCTCCTCTTCCTCAGGAACCTCTACATCTCAGCTTTATCCACAGTCTCGAGGGCTGGTTCCAAAGTAAAGCCAGTTCCACCTCTCCCAGGGTATAAACAGCATTGGCCTTCTGAGAGAAGAGACGAACAAAGAGATCTGCAGAGAGGACTTGAGCCCAACTCAGAACCATTTCCCTGGGGAGACACGATGGCCTCTTTGCAAATTAACCGACTTAATCTGGTTGAAATGTGCTGGTCCTAATCTGGCACACAGCTCCTCTGGGAAACGCCTTTTAAGTAGCATCTCAGAAATGCATGAGTAAGGTAACGTGGGACACTCAAAGTGGAAAGCAAGAGAATGACCAGTGACCTTGCTTCCCTTCCCCCTGCCTTTTCTCCACCCTCCTCCTTTGCCTGCCCTCCCTTTCCTTCTCCTTTTCGAGCCTGTTTTTGACATTGGCCTCCTTTCTTGTTAAACAGTAAGGCAGAATCAGGAGTCACCTTAGGAGGACCAAGCCTTTGAGGCTTACGGTACAGTGACAGTGAGGTTGAAAAGTGAAAGTCCTAGACCTTGAGTAGGTGCCTGTTCTTGGTAGACATGCACCTGATGCGCACGATCTTCTGTCTTGCACCCATGCCCTTCAATAAGAAGTGGATCTGCCTTTGGGATCTGCTGAATGAGGAAATCTTCTCTAAGGAAGCTATCGGTTTCTGCTCCTGAAAGATACAGATATTTCAGAAGCAATCGATATAGCATTCCCTTTTCTTCCTTGGAGAATTTAGGGAAATAGCTTCTTTAAAACCTCAAAACCATGACCATCTTGTCAAAGACCTAAATCTGTAAGCTGGTGCCACGTCTACACACCATGTTACTTACTTTTCATTTGTCACCAGCTTTTTCCATGTGTACTCTGAGAGTCCCTGCCCGGCCCATCCTCTGCCTCAAGGGCATGCTCTGCGGAGAGCTTGTTTTGTGGGAGAAGGGAGGCAGGCTCTGCCTTCTCCAGTGGGACAGGAGTGAGGGAGTAAGACCTACAGAGGCACTTTTGAATTTCCCATTTTACTCCCTATTTGCATTGAGAACATAAGGGTCTAGGCAGATGCAGAGACAGAGCCATGAGGCTCAGTGCAGGGGGAAGGGAAGACAACAGATGGAAGCAAAGGAATCCTGCCTGCCTTCAGCAGAAGTCTCGCTGGATGCCAGAACCATGGCTCCCCCTGGGCAGAGTCCAGGGTGGTGGGCAGAGTAGTGGCTGTGCAGTTGAATAGGCTCACAGGGGAGAGTTAGGACTTCCCATTTCCATATACTAGTTTGGTTGTTAAGTTTTAGTTCTTTGTATTATTGGAAGTTAAAGCTTCATTTTTTTGTTGGTCATTAGGTGAATGTTACTCATTTCCTTACCCTCCCCCAAGAGGAGCTCTTAAATGTGTGGGTGTGCAAGCACAGTGGTGCCTGTGTGCTTTGAGTGTGTCCGTGTGTATGAGAGAGAGAGACACCAAGAACTTGCCCAGTTTTAGAAGTACACTAGCGTGCAGTTGTTGCCTTTGTTTGTATCAGAGGCACATCGAATGACTGATCCAGGTAGGAAGCTCTCCCACATGGGTGTCTGAGTCCACGAGCCAAGCCTGAGGGGACAATGTGAGTCCCCAGGTCTGCCCCACTGTGCACCTTGCTGGCACGGTGCCTCAGGAAGGTGGCGACTCAGGTGGGCCTTGAGTTACCCTGTAACTCAGCTGCTCAGTTCCCAGGGCACATTTCTGGATCAGAACCCCTGGGAAAGAGGAGGTACCAAGTGCAATGTCTTAGCGGAGACCTGTCATGCGGCAGCTTCTCTCCTTTGTAGTAACCATTATTTCTGAACCCAGGATCCTTTTAAGCAATTCCCAGAGCATAATGGAGCCTTCCCTCATCTTTCTTGGTATCAAACCTGTTTCTTTCTTATTTACTGAGAATTTACCTGTTTGAATAGGAACCAGATAATAAAGTGGGTAGCCTAAGATGGTTATCTGCCAGCTACACCTGTCTGTTGCACCACATTTCCTCAAAGATAGTCTGAATTCTGTAGAAAATATTCAAGTAGCAAATCTGTTGTCTGCAGATAACACCAGACCTCAACACTGACTTTTTGAGGTGGCTTTTCTGATCAAGGGTGGTTGAGTGACCTTAGAACTGTTGTATGAGAGCAAAAGAAGGTGGTCCAAGTGGACAGGCAGGGTTAAGAAAACAAGCTTGCCTTATACTCAGCTGTATTCATCTGCTCTGTGAAACAAAGTGGACCACCACCTGTGCGCAGGTGAAGCTGTCCCCTCCCAAGCAGTCTCTGGTGCTTTTCTTCTCTCAAAATGGATCCGATAAATATTTGAATAGAGAGACATAGTACATCTTGCTGCTCCCAGCAAGCTGCTGCTTTGGGCTCTGAACCCAGCCAAGTGTGTAGAGAACTTACCACGCCCACTAAGGAACCAGGTTTTCATGTTTGTAGTCATGCTAGAATGTCCCAGGCTATCTGAGGGCCTTCATGCTAGCAGCAGCTAGTAAAGTCTGGAAGCAAATCTAACAGGATCTAAGAAGACGGTCTGGGAGAAAGAGTTGGAGATTGTGGGTGCAACCCTCATCAGGGCCCTTTATACTCTGATCAGCAGGAATGTATCTGGCTTCATATTTAAATCCACATTTCTCCCAGACCCCTGGATTCAGAACCCAAGGCCACAAATGATAGGCATGAAGCACTTTTTTAGGACTGACTGACCTACATTGGATTGTTCTCCGTCGAATGCCTGCATGCTGCTTGAATTGCACCACCCACACCTCCATGACCAAGGGTATCAGAGAGTTCTGCAGCTCAGGCTTGGGCCACTCTCTGCATTTCCTGTCCGACTCATGTAAGTCCTCCCTCACTGAATGTAGAATTGTTGCCAAGTTTCTGAGAAGTGTCTGTTCCCCATTAACTCGGGATATCAGTTCTGCCTCCCATTTCCCACTTGAGGCCTTGAGGTCACTGGGAATAACACCTTGGCCCATCTGAACACCATCAGTGGATGAAAATGGGACTGTTAATACTCTCTAAGAGCCATAATCACAATGCTGAGAGGGAGCTGGATAAGAACAGTGGGCCTGGCCGTTGTCTGTCACGCAAAGTTCTGTCTTGTACTGCTTGGACATGTACCACCTCTCCCTGCCCTTCAATGAAATGCTTTTGAGGTTATTTATGAAAGGAGTGGTTTTGGGACAGGCAGAAGGCAGTGGGCTTTATGGCTCTTTGGAGTTAACTGTTGATCTTGACCTTCTCTATGGCTACCTTTAGACAAAGAATATGCCAATACTTGGGGTTCTGAGTTTTACAATTGATATTTATTTGTATCATCTCTTTGTCTAGGAATGTAAAAGTGATTCTAAGCTAAGATATGTAATAAAAATCAATCAGATTTATTGTACCTACAAAAAGGTGTCTTCATAAATGCCTGATGCTTTTGAAAGTGACCTGTCTGTGGCTCATTCTGCCACTTTCTTTAAACATTTACATTTTTCTAGTGAAAGGAGGGTGGGAGTGGAAAGTGCAGATTGAGTCTGAATGCTGACATTTAAAAAATACAGCACCAAGGTAAAGGGGCGGAAGAAGAAGAATAACAAGTAAGTGCTTCTCCGTTTTCAGTAGAGATTCCCGAGATTGGCCAATACATCAGCATGAAATGTAACTATTGTGTTTTATTTTTTAATTGCTTTAATGTTATGTAGTTTATTTTAAAACATGGCTTCTTTTTTAACACAAAAATATTTTATGTATATACCATTGGGGAAAAAAATACCAAAAACGGGCCATTCATCAGCCCGTGGTCTCTTCTGTGTTGCCTGCTGGCATATTCTTCTGGGAGTTGTACTCCCCAGTTGAGAAGTCACGGCCAAGTAGAAGGGCACAGACCCTCTACTCCGAGCTGGATTTTAATTCTGGTTATTTGGTCTCTTACTAATGTGTGACTGAGGAACTTAATTTCCCTGGACCTGGGGGTTCCTCTTTGTAAAATAGGGTGATAATCCCCACTTTGCAGGTCTTTGTGAGGATTAGCAATGCATTTAAAGAAACAAGGACATCAGTATGTGGACTAGAGCAGACATCAAAAAATGTGGTTATTGATGTGATGTGGTGCCCTGTGTTGAGAAGATACCAGAACAGTTGAAACTAGAAGCTAGTGTTGAACAGATTGTGTTTATAAAATCCTAGGCGTCTATAGAAAAATTGCTGATCATTTAGCAAATTTATGTTGTGTAACTACAAAGTGTTTTGCTGTTCTGGAAACTGGATACATAACACATGAGCAACACTGACATAGCCCTGCCCACAGGGAACTCGTCCTTGAAATCAGACAAATGCCATGAAATGATAAGAGGGGAGTTGGGAGGGTAAACAAGGGAAGGGCTTTCCGAAAAAGAGACATTCATAGTATGATCTAGAGGGCAAGCAGTAGACAAGAGGGGAGGGGATGGAATCGGTGCAGGGTTAGAAGAGTAGCGCTTATGAATCCTTGTATCACCTAGTAGACTTGCACGGGAAGGTACCTGCAATCCTTTGTAACCCTTACCCAAGGAAACATGATGAACCATTGTAGAAAAGATCACGGAAGAGTACTTGAAAAAAACAAACAAAAGCAGGGCTTCCCTGGTGGCTCTGGTGTTCAAGTCTTAGTGTTATAGGGCACCTCAATTCAGAGAGGCATCCCTGAAGCCCCAAAACCTGCCTGCTCTAAGTGGGTTCTGCCATCCGCCGCAACAAGACAAAACATATAAAGCTTTAATGAAAAGTGACTTTAATACAGTGAATATACAATATGAAACATAAAGAATGTAACTTCTAAATCAAACACCTGAAGTTACCCATCCCCTCGTGGGCAAAAGTCAACCCAAAAGGGATTGGCCCAAAGCAAGGCCTGAAAGCCTGCCACAAGACTAAAGCACCTTCTGGCCGGGACCCATGGAAAAGGGTCAGAAATGGCCAGACAAATCTGGGAGGAAAAGAGCAAAATCAAAATCAATATAAACACTGCCATGGTCACCTCCCTACAGGTATCTCACCCACATCTGCCTTAACCAGTCCAGGGTCAGGAAACAAGCCCTGTTTCTTCATCACATGTTTGCTGCTCCATGTGGCTTCCTTAGGTCTCCTTCTCCATCTGTCTTCCTTCTCTCTTCTTCTCTCTCCTTTTTCTCTGCTCAGTTCCACCCTCCTTCTGGGTGGGGCAGGGAACCTGGAACTTCCCTTCTCCTAGGGACCACCCAGTTACATTAGGACTGTCATGCTATCACCAGCCACTGCAACATGAATTCAGTCTCCAGCCAGGGAGCTGACCCACATGGCGCAGCACAACTCTCCTGGCTTGCCCACTGCTCCCCTCAGCAGAGTACTTCAGTACCTCTGCCTGTTCTGCTCCCCACTTGTCTCTGGTGAATCCTCTCAGTTCTCCACCCCCAGCCCCCCACCTCCGGCCTGCACCCAGCTCTTGCATGCATAAGTAAATCTTTTTGTTTTACAAAAAGCACAGAGGAGACTGCCTGTGAGAGTTAGGCAATCCTCTGTCTCCATATGGTGCCCTCCAGCTGTGTACCATGTTCCTGTATTCCCCCATTCCTTTCAAGAGTCACAAACTCCCACAGAACTGTCTTAGCCCAAAGAATCGTTGACTTGAATTGTTCAGAATCCATTAACCAGAAAGCAAGAGTTCAAAGTGTGTTTGAAGACTATGAGTGTGTTCTTGAAAATGACAGAATTCTAGATGGGTCTTGAGGAGAAATAGGGCAGAACAGCTGGGAAATTCCTGCTGACTCACTAAGTTGTCTTCTCATCTTCTGGATTATTAAAAAAAATCAAGAAATTACTCAAATCGTGTGTGGTACAGTAAGAAATGGATAGATAGTCTTTGTCCCTGAGGAACTTTTACAACCGTTGGAATTTCCTAAGTGATGGGGGTTGTAAGATTATCTTTTGGTATTTCTAACAAGCCCCTTTCAACTATACCTGAGTTTATGCTGATAAAGTGACTGTGTGGTCCCCTCGATAGCTTCCAGATGGGAGCTGGTTACCAGAGGAACCAAAAATGTAATTAGAGAGTAGAAACTTTCAACTCCTCCCACCTTCACAGAGAGATGAGGCTCTTCCCTCCCCCCCCCCCAATACCTTGCACTGTGTGCTGCTTCCATTTGGCTGTTCCTGAATTGCATCCTTTGTAATGAACTGGTAATAGAAGCTGAAGCACTTTCCTGAGTTCTGTGAGCCATTCTAATAATTATCAAACATGAAAAGAGGTTCATAGGAACCTCCTTTTTATGAGGCTGCCGGGTAAGTGTAAGTAGCAATCTGGGACTTGTGACTGGGATGTAACGTGGCTCTTGTGGGGACTGACTGAGCCTTTAGTCTGTGTTAATTCTACCCGGTAGTTAGTGTCAGAATTGAACTGGTAGTTCAAGAAGCTGGTGTCTGAAGAATTGGAGAGTTGGCCGTTGAGAGAAGGAAAAAAACCCTTACATTTCATTAAGTGTTGTGAATAAAAACAGTTTGGGAAATAAAAATAGTTGGGAAACTATTTTGAACTTCACACTTATTGTGGAGTCTTGGGGTATGATTTTGGCGGGCTCCCTTGTACTGGAGTTGCCATCTGATTGAAGTTTACCCCAGAGAATCTGCTCTCCAGGGACTGTGTGGTGGTCACATCTGCCAACTGGGTTGTAGTGGCATTTGTCAAGTATGTAACTGTAACTCTCACAGCTGCTCCCGTTTCCACTATCACAGACTTGTGGTTAACCGTCCCTGAGTGCTTCAGTTAGGTGAGCTGACTGGGAACTTGCTTTTGGGGTGGGGAATGGGCAGAGCAAGAGGTTGCTCACTACACCATGAGAGACTGAGGCCCACAGGAACTTGCTGAATGCCCACTATGCAGCCAGTGCCTTGCTCTGCTCTGAGACAGAGGAGTGAAATGTGCTTTGGCCCTTCTAAGAGGAGGGGAGAACCGCCAGGTTCAGAGCGATTAGGACCTGCGAGGGGACTGTCTCCTGTCCCCACAATGTGGTCCCAGCCCTCTGAAACGAGCCACGCAGTCCACTTTTTGGTGTCTGGTGCTTTTATGCCTTGGTTTCTTCACATGTATGCTGCCCTCTTTCTGGAAACTTCTCTTTGTTTGGCTAATTCCTCCTCATCCATCAAGTGCCAATTTAATGTCACACTTTCCAGAAAGCCTTTCCCAGCCATCCCTTCTGATCACCCCAGCTCCACCTGGTTGTATGTGTCATCCCTTACCCCTCTTAGCGCTCTTCCCAACCTGCAGTTATTTTCTCTGCTGTGGTCTCTTGTTTGGACATTGTTACCCAAAAGTATGTCCTGTTGTTTCCTCTAAGTTTGACACTTAAAGACATAGGCTGGTTAGACCTGTGCTGATACCTGCAGCTTAGAACAAGGTGTTTTCTGCCAGAGGAAGGACTAATGTGCAGTAAAGGTGGAGAAAGGCTTCAAAAGGGAGGCAACATTTGAACTGTGCTCCGGAATAATGGGTGGGTTTCACTGACCTGGGAAGGAGGGAAAGCCTGCCAGACAAGGGAGGACATGGACTGTGAGTGAGCACATGGTAAGTGCACCTGGGAGTCGTGACTGGGAAAAAGAAAGGGCTGGGGAGGGTCTCAACTCCACAGCACATTCTGTAGTTTGCAAAGCATAGACTGTTGCACACTGGAACATTTTCTCCTAGAGCCATCCTAAGCTATTTCTTTTTTTGAGATAACTGAAAGCAATTTAACAATTTTTCTAAATGCTG